GGCCCTCCCAAAGCCTAAAATTAAAGAAATCAAGGACTACCTCACTTAGATGAACACCATTATCACAAAAACTGCCTGCTTCTATTTCCAAGAGTTGGTGGTGAACTGCAATACTACCCATTAGTCAGATTAATTTTGACACTGACCTATTAGTTTTGATTGAGACCTATAAAAATAGTACAATTAATAACCGATCTCCATGTCAACCTCAGAAGTATTTCTAACCAGGCTACCAAGATGTCTAGAAATAGTTCCCAGACATGCAAAAAGAATAATTTAATGTCTGCAATTAGTCTGTGCATGGGAAAAAACTGATATTATTTCGACCTGCATGCACATGTGTTAGGTCTCACATTCCTCCCAACTGAGAATGTTTAGATAACAGCCAGGGTCACCTCCAAACTGGGGAAAGCAGAACAATGAACTTTGCCCTCCTCTCTTCAAAAGCCAAAAAGTCTTCCATTCAGTCGTACTCCTGCCTGTCTGTTCTGCCCAAAAAATATAGGAATGGCCTGTAACCCAAACTACATTACATTTTACAGGACAGAATAGAGAATATCAAAATGGCAAGAGAATATTCAAAATATTTATTTAAATTACATTTATTTTTCTATTATATAAATTAGATAAGTGTGTGTGTGTGTGTGTGTGTGTGTGTGTTTACACGTCCACCAAATGAGGACATACATAAGACTAGAACCTGGTGGATTACCATTGACAACTTCTGAATAAGTTGTTACCCAGCTCTGATAGCTCTGATAGCTGGCTCCGTAGGTGCCTCCATAGCTTTTCCAATCCATTATGAGTGAGAACTATAGTCTTCTGCAGTACAACCTATCCTCACCAAACATTGTTTAAACATAACCACAAATTGGAAGCATGACAAGGATGGCTCATTAATCAATAAAGATCTATGCAATGCAGGACAGACTTCCATAAAAGGAGAATAACAATGTGCAAGATAATCCACGATTGCACCTTTTGCAACTGTATCCAAAAAACTCTCCTGCACTGATTATCTTTAGAAAGAAAAATAGTCAGGTGCTCTATTCCATCTACACAAGTGACATTATTGAAAAACCAGACAATCATATCTCTCTGAGTACTGACCAATTCACTGATTCTAAATGCTGCATAAAAGGTCAAAGTAAAGGCCAAGTGGAAAAGACGTTTTCCCTAATCGTCATGATACACAACATCCAGTTCATGGAACAAACCTTCCAATGAGTGAAAGGTTACAGGCTTCCTTCTGTCCAATGAGCACTTCAAAATTCTTTAGCCACTTGGTGCACAAAGAATTGCTTAGTAATGTCAGATAAACCACAAAATTTTAACAGGAATGAAAATGCAGCCAATTTCCTATCCACCATAGATGGTAAAACCCCAGAATTCCACAATTCAACTAAAAACCAGCTCAGCAGATTTTATTTTTTTTTAACAGTTGTGTTTATTAAATTCGTACAAAAGTAAAACAAGTCAAGGTATGCAAGACAGCAGATTTCATTCTACCAAATCAGAGGAAACATCCTGAACTTCAACCTCAGACTCCCACTGTCACGTACCTGGTCAGGGTTGAAACTGATGAGATGGCTGCCCTTAGACCTCTTGTCCTGTTTCCCCTGGGGATAATAGCAGGGTATAACAGGACACTGAGTGGCATGGAAGCCTGTAGATCAGATTTGGTATATCTTGGAAGCATATGAGGAGCTGGAGCAGGCCAACTGGCAGTAAGAAGATACTGGATCTTGGGATGAACAGTGGTCAGCAACAAATGACTAGCAATAGCAAGGTCAGGAACCAGGAGCAGAATCAGCCATGCCAAGGTCAGCATCAAGCAAGTAGAGGATGTACCATGGCAGCAGGCAGGAAGCAAGTTCAGGTCACAAGCCCAGTCATCATCAAAAGGTCCATGAACAAACAGGATGAATAAGCAGTCTCAGAATGAGCACAAAATCAGGTCACAAGCAGAAGGAGCTGACAACCACTCAGCAATGAACCTGAGTCCTGTAAGGCCACTAGGCGCCAAAGTCCATCAAACAATCACGCTCACGCACATAAGAATGTGCACAATACCAATATTCTTGTGCACATGCCCCAGAAAGATGAGCGCAGGGTCCTAATGCTGGGCACAGTTCTATGGAATGTTCTGCATGCTTGCACATTCCTTTGAGCACAGACATTCCTTTTAGCATGGCTTTGAGTATGACTTTCCTGATACCCACCATCTCTTCCTTACTGTATTATATTAGTTCCAGGTTGTTTTTGACACAATTCTCTCCTCAACTCGCCAGTGTAACATAAAAAGAAAATGATATTTGCTACAGGCTAAGAGTGAGCTGTGAGCTTGTTCATAGCTGAAACAACAGCCATGTGGTTGTCAGAATGAAAAACCACATTTGTTTGCCAACAGTAGGCCCCAGACTACAACTCTCGCCACTAAAGGAAAGAACCCCCAAGTTCCAGGGAAGGCAACTTTCTGCAACTCCACAGGCTACTGCCCAGCTCCACTTTCCTTGATAATAACCCACACCACCAGATGCATCAGTGAAAAGTTGCAGAAGCAGAAGACTGCCACATGGACATTGTGTGTAGCACGGAACAGTTACCAGACTTTAATGATGCATATAAAATGGTGAGGGCTGTTGACTCTCAATGTCAAAAAGTCCAGTCTTTCTGTAAAAAATGTAAAAAAAATTCTGTCCATAGGCATAATTCTGCAAGCAAATGAAATTTTTTCTAGCAATGACTGAAGAGATCTTATTGCCTAATTCCTGGATCAAACAAACTGTTTCCTTTACTAATGGAGCACTGTATAAACTGTACATAGAATCAGCTGCATACAGTAAACAGTAATATCTTCTGGTGGTGAGATAGAGCTGAGTGCTGCTCAGACATTTCATTTTATGAATTAATACAAGGTGCTTTCTCTGATTGAGATAACTAATTTTCATTCCACCTGCCTCTCCACTTTAGCCAATCAGAGAAAGCATTGTATGAAAACCCTTGTACGTATGAAACCCTTCAGACTAAAAAAAAAAAAAACCATGATAAATCAGGTTCAGCCAGTACCATACCCCAGTACTGGTTTGGCCAGGGTAGCAATGCTCTGTCAGGGAATGGACTGGCCAGCAATGGTGGGACTCACCTGCCTGGGAAATGAGCTGCAGTACAGGGACTGGCCACGCGGGTGCTCCCAGCAATCAGAGACTCAACCTTGCAGCCAGTCAAACACCTGGAAAAACTGATTATGCTGGTGTATATTAAGGGATGGCCAGACCTGCAGACTCTGCCTTGGTGTGTGTGTTTTTCCTGTTCCTGCCTTCCTGTTCCTGTCTTGTTGCTGACCCTGCCCTGATCTGACCTCTGCTTTGGTACTTCTCCTGCTCTGACCTCGGCTCGTTCCTGGACCATATCCCTCTGCCTGACCCTCTGTACCACGCTGCCCGCTACCTGCTGAACCTGGCTTGTGACCCCGACCATTCTCCGCTTGCTCCCCTGTTACCTACCTGCCGTATTGATATTGACCCGGCCCTGCCTGACGACGCTTGCATTGTATGTACTGTTATCTGTGGGTGGTTTGGTTCGTTTGCACTGTGTTATGTTTTCCCTAAGTATTGCACTGCGTTTATGTTTGTAATTGTTAGTGTTAATAAATGATATTGTTTATAACATATCTGAAGTCTGGTGCGTTTCCCTTCGTCAGTCACACACCTCTGGTCATACCCTGGGAGCCCTGACATTACACCAAGGCCAATCCTGACCAGAATAGCTGGCTGCACAGGGAAGCCATCTTGTGCACCCCATGTTGATGGGAAGGATGGATCTTGATGAGGTTGTGTATTTATATCTGCTAGTGTTTGATTGACAGAGAGTATGTCTTATCAAACTCTGAAGGAGTATCCCCGGGATGAACTGCTAGAATGTATACGGCTCGCTCATGTTCTAGTAGATCAGGGCACAGAATTCTCTGAGGTTGCAGCCATTGATTCAGATTTGTGCGGAGTTGGTTTCATCTGGTACCCCTGAATGCAGGGATGAATTTTTGCCGCCATTTAGTGCCGACCAGGTAGAGTGCAGTCCCTGGTGTGGTTATTATTAGAGGATGATGTGGATTTACTTTCTGGAGCGTTATGCTGCATGTTCACTCCACAGATACTAAGAGATTGTATAAACGCAGTGCAGTCTTTGGTCAGACAGGCTTTGTGTAAGCTCAGCTTTGTTCAACCCATACTGCAGACATGGACAGATTTGTTGCACCCAGCTCAGTCAGCTTACAAAAAACCCAGTCCTCCTTCTAATCTATTTCCTCAAAGGCTTTATTCCTGCATTCCCAACAGCTCCTCCTGCCCTGCTATCTACCGCATGTCATTACCCTGTTCCCAATCTCGCTGCACCTATCCTGCCTTTAACCCTGTAAAAAAGCCCCTCTGTAGCAACTGCTCCCTCCCCTGTTCCATCCTCCAGCTCTTCTCTGTCTCCAGCTGCTCCATTCGTTTGCAGACCTGCGTTTACTTGCAGTGCTCCAGTAGTTAAAACCAGAAAAAAAGCGAAAATTCTTTCCAACCAATACCATCCTGCCAGTATCCAAACCGGTGAGCCTGCCGTCCGAGAACCGGCCTTCCGTGGTTCAGCCTGGTGCCTCGCACACGCACTTCAACCTGATGTCTGTACCCGGCCTGATGTCTGTACCCAGCCTGATGCCTGTACCCAGCCTGATGCCTGTACCGAACCTGATGCCTGTACCCAGCCTGATGCCTCTATTCAGCCTGATGCCTCTATTCAGCCTGATGCCTCTACTCAGCCTGATGCCTCTACTCAGCCTGATGCCTCTACTCAGCCTGATGCCTCTCTTCAGCCTGATGCCTCTCTTCAGCCTGATACCTCTCTTCAGCCTGATGCCTCCACTCAGCCTGATGCCTCCACTCAGCCTGACGCCTCCACTCAGCCTGATGCCTCTACCCAGCATGATGAACTGATCCAGCCTGATGATCCTATTAGGCCAGTTGACTCGATGCCCGCTGTTGATCCAATGATCCGGTACCTGATCCGGTGCCCGCTGTCGTGCCAATTGACTCAGAGCCCGCTGTCGTACCTGGTGACTCGGTGCCCACTGCCTTGCCAGATGACGCGGTGCCCGCTGGCGAGCCAAATGACCTGATGCCTGGTGACCCAGTGCCCGCTGTCATACCTGGTGACCCGATGCCCGCTGTCGAGCCAGACGATCCAATGCCTGGTGACCCGGTGCCCAATGCCTTGCCAGATGACGCGGTGCCCGCTGGCAAGCCAAATGACCTGATGCCTGGTGACCCAGTACCCGCTGTCATACCTGGTGACCCGATGCCTGCTGTCGAGCCAGACAATCCAGTACCTGATGACCCCGGTGCCCGCTGTCGTGCCAATTGAGTCAGAGCCCCACTGTCTTGCCAGATGACGCGGTGCCTGCTGTTGAGCCAAATGACCTGATGCCTGGTGACCCGATGCCCGCTGTCCAGCCAGACGATCCAATGTCTGAACCAGTGCCCGCGGTCATACCAGTTGACTCGGAGCCCCACTGCCTTGCCAGATGACGCGGTGCCCGCTGTCGAGCCAAATGACCTGATGCCTGGTGACCCGATGCCCGCTGTCCAGCCAGACGATCCAATGTCTGACCCAGTGCCCGCGGTCATGCCAGTTGACTCGGAGCCCACTGCCTTGCCAGATGACGCGGTGCCCGCTGTCGAGCCCAGTGACCTGATGCCTGGTGACCCGATGCCCGCTGTCCAGCCAGACGATCCATTGTCTGACCCAGTGCCAGCGGTCATGCCAGTTGACTCGGAGCCCACTGTCGTGCCTGGTGACCCGGCGCCTGCCGCTCCGCCTGGGGGCCCGAGACCCGTCGCTCCGCCTGGGGTTCCGGCGCCCGCCGCTCCGCCTGGGGGCCCGAGACCTGTCGCTCCGCCTGGGGTCCGGCGCCTGCCGCTCCGCCTGGGGGCCCGAGACCTGTCGCTCCGCCTGGGGGTCCGGCGCCCGCCGCTCCGCCTGGGGGCCCGAGACCCTGTGGCTCCGCCTGGGGGCCCGAGACCTGTTGCTCCGCCTGGGGGTCCGGCGCCCGCCGCCCCGCCTGGGGGCCCGATGCCTGTCGCCCCGCCTGGGGGCCCGATGCCTGTCGCCCCGCCTGGGGGCTCGATGCTTGTCGCCCCTCCTGGGGGCCCGCCGCTCCGCCTGGGGGCCCGATGCCTGTCGCCCCGTCTGGGGGCCCGATGCCTTTTGCCACATCTGGGGCCCGATGCCTGTCGCTCGTCTGGGGGCCCGATGCCTGTCGCCCCTCCTGGGGGCCCGGCGCCCGCCGCTCCGCCTGGGGGCCCGATGCCTGTCACCCCACCTGGGGGCCCGGTGCCTGCTGCTCCGCCTGGGGGCCGGTGCCTGCTGTTCCGCCTGGGGGCCCGGGGCCTGCTGCTCCGCCTGGTGGCCCGGGGCCTGCTGCTCCGCCTGGTGGCCCGCTGCCTGCTGCTTTCGCCTGGTGATCCGATTTGCCTCTGCCCGAAGTCCAGCCCGATGTGCCTCTGCCCGGAGTCCAGCCCGATGTGCCTCTGCCCGGAGTCCAGCCCGATGTGCCTCTGCCCGGAGTCCAGCCCGATGTGCCTCTGCCCGGAGTCCAGCCCGATGTGCCTCTGCCCGGAGTCCAGCCCGATGTGCCTCTGCCCGGAGTCCAGCCCGATGTGCCTCTGCCCGGTGTGCCCCTGCCCGATGTGCCTCTGCCCGGTGTGCCCCTGCCCGGTGTGCCGCTGCCCAGAGTCCTTCCCGGTGTGCCGCGCTGCCCGGAGTCCTGCCCGGTGTGCCAGTCTTTGATATCCCGCCAGTTACCAGACCCGGGCGCTGGAACATTTTGCCCAGCTAGGACTGTTTGGAGCGTCCTGAGGCCGCTCCTTGAGGGGGGGGGGGGTACTGTCAGGAATGGACTGGCCAGCAATGGTGGGACTCACCTGCCTTATGAGCTGCAGTACCAGGGCTGGCCAGCAGGTGCTCCCAGCAATCAGAGACTCAACCTTGCAGCCAGTCAAACACCTGGAACTGATTATACTGGTGTATTTAAGGGATGGCCAGACCTGCAGACTCTGCCTTGGTGTGTGTTTTTCCTGGGCCCTGTATCCTGTTCCTGCATCCTGTTCCTGTTCCTGTCTTGTTGCTGACCCTGCCTGATCTGATCTCTGCTGAATTCTCCTGCTCTGACCCCGGCTCGTTCCTAACCATCCCTCTGCCTGACCCTCTGTACCACGCTGCCCGCTACTGCTGAACCTGGCTTGTGACCCCGACCATTCTCCGCTTGCTCCCCCTGTACCTACCTGCCCGATTGATATTGACCCGGCCTGCCTGACGACGCTTGCATTGTATGTACTGTTATCTGTGGGTGGTTTGGTTTGGTTCGTTTGCACTGTGTTATGTTTTAGTATTGCACTGCGTTTATGTTTGTATTGTTAGTGTTAATAAATGATATTGTTTATAACATATCTGAAGTCTGCGTTTCCCTGCGTCAGTCACACACCTCTGGTCATACCCGGGAGCCCTGACATGCTCATTGGCTTCCTCCCCTTTTCCATTCACATTGTTACCTCTCTGCTTGCTTGCATTTGTAGAGCATTCATGTCTGAAACTGCAGATTGCCCCCCACTTACAGGATTCCTTGTCCAAGATCCAGCACTCCTCCTGTAAGCCCAATAGTCTAGTCCCCAAACCACCAGCTCTTGACTCAAACAGCAAGGAAGAACTTCCCTGCACCTGTTAAGCCAATATGCTGCCACCATTAATTGCATCCATAACTCAAAGATTTTATGATCCCATTCCAGGCACAGATAAAGATGTACACTAGCAAAACTGTTATAGCGTAGCCAAGTTTTGCCTGCATTCACCTGATAAGCCTCAAGAATTGAGTCTACTGGCTTTTCCCCACCAGTAATGCTGCCCAGGATTGCAAAAGCTTGAAGCCAATTATAGAATGTTTGAGGAATTGGATGATATCTGAATCTGTCTTTGTCCTTCATGTGTTCCTTGCCTTTTCCCCATTTTTAAACTGAGCAGCTCTCTCGCAGCAAAAGGGTAAACATAATAATGTACTATCTGTTCCAGACTTTCAAGCTCTTTCTCACTTGTGACCCCAAAGGAACCTTGAAACAAACATATATTGTATGCTACTCTTGCGTTATCCGATCCTTATCAACCTCTTTTACCTCCCCTTGTGTGGTGGAGTGGAATCATCACTGGTTGACAGTGCTACAGTACCCACACCCCTAACATTAACTGCCAGCACACCACTTCTAGTTTATGTGGACTCAGGTAACACAGACTAGTGTTTACTCCCATATTTTCTGGCTTGCTTTGAGTCCTCAAAACAGGATCCTGTTTGCTTCTGGACCACCACCATCCCTGATGAGGACCCCTCTCAAGTCTAAAACTGTCCCTCAGATGATCCTCCCTAATTTGTCCAAATAAGATAAAGGAACTTGTTTCCTGCACTCCACTGCTTGCTGACTGATGTAGAGACTAGGAAAAACTCAACCCTGCAAAGCAAGAGGCAAACATTTTTTAGGCTCATCTGAATGCACTCAACAGGTAGCCAGCTCTGATGCTGTTCCTGACCTCACTGGTGAGATCCCTTCTACAAAACTTCTCTGGATGCCGTCTGACTAGCATTACCCACAAAAGAAATGGATTATCTGACCTGATGGCCTGTATACATCTAGCTGTGGGGGGGGGGGGTCTGGGACTGCTATCTTGTTCAGGGACCTTGAACTGTAGTCTGCAAAGAAAACCAGGAAACCAAACAGGTGTTGTCCAGTGGGCAGCCACACTAACCCAGACACTTGGGGCTCCATTTAGACCAGTAGCCTGCAGCTTATTAGCGTCTCTGTCAAAGTTGCTATTAGCACTGCTCTTCCCCTGTACTTCCTACCCATTTTTTTAGCATTTTCCTACATTCCAGCCCAGCACATGCTCTTTCTCCTATGAGTTCAGGACAGCCCTTCTTCTCACTTTGTTGAGATTTGCTGACAAATCTCCCAAAAAGGACACAGCAAAAAAAATAAATAAATAAAGATTAAAACACTTCCCTACACGATACTTTGGGCAGTGTCAAAACTGGCATCCAAATCCCGTGTTTAGCCGCATTTATGCACGTTTGCGTTTAGAAGCGTTTTTTAAAAGATAACCTCAGGAGACCCTCCCAAATGCCCAGAATGCACTGAAAAATCGTAAATTCACTAAAAAAGGCTATTAAAATACAGCATGAGTTATTTTATCAAGTCATGTTGTATTTTAGTAGTGAAAAGCATGCATTAATGTTTCAGCTTTCAGCAGGATTCCCACTGACAGCTGAATGTAAAAGAAAGAATTGCCAGCAATGAAAAAATAATAGAAAAATGGCATGGGGTCCCCCCTCCCAACCATACCAAACCCTTCGGGTCTGGTATGGATTTTGAGGGGAAGCCTCACGCCAAAATTTACAAAAAAATGGCATGGGGTTCCCCCCAAAATCCATACCAGACCCTTATCCAAGCATGCAGCCCGGCAGGTCAGGAAAGGGGGGGCAAGTGAGTGCGAGCACCCCGCCCCCTCCTGAACCATACCAGGCCACATGCCTTCAACATGGGGGGGTGCTTTGCTTTCACAAAAAAAAGCTGTAGTGTGAAAAGTCCTTTAATAAAAGAATGTCCCCTGAACTAAATCCAACGTCAATCATGATGTCACGATGTCCGCTGCCGCTCCAAAGAAAACAAAAAAGGCTCCGCTACTGACTCTGGCCCCCGGCCATCTGCTCATATTTAAGAACTGCCAAACCAGCTTCTGAGCAGATGGGGCCGGGGGGCCAGCGTCGGTAGTGGAGCCTTTTTTTTTTAATCTTCAGAGCGGTGGCAGACATTGTGATTGACGTTGGATCTACTTCGGGGGACATTCTTTTATTAAAGGACTTGTCAAAGAATGACTCCTGTCTTTTTTCAAACTACAGCTTTTTTTTTGTGAATGGGTAGCGGTACCATGTACCCCATACTCATTCACGTTGGGGGGAGGTCGGGATCTGCAGACCCCCACAACCACAGCCCAGGGTTGTGAGGAAGAGGCCCTTGTCGAGCTCGCACCCCCCCCCCCCTTTCCTGACCTGCCGGGCTGAATGCTCGGAATAAGGGCCTGGTATGGATTTTGGGGGGAACCCCACACTATTTTTTTTTTCATTTTGGCATGAGGCTTCCCCTCAAAGTCCATACCAGACCCGAAGGGCTTGGTATGGATGGAAGGAGGACCTCACATAATTTTTAAAAATTATTTTTTCATTGCCGGCAATTCTCTCTTTTACATTCAGCTGTCAGTGGGAACGCCGCTGACAGCTGAAACATGATGCATGCTTTTCACTACTAAAATTTCACGACTTGATAAAATCATGCAGTATTTTAGTAGCCTTTTTTAGTGGATTCAAAACGTTTTTTTTTTTAAAATGTTATGCAGTGTTGTACCACATACTTGGATGCGGTAGGATACCACTTAGTGAATTGTGCCCTTGATATGGACCAGTCAAAAAAATGCTTCTAAACGCAATTAGCCACGTTTACAAATGCTTGGCGTTTGAAACGCTGCTAAAATCTACTCCTGAAAGCAAGTTTGGTATGTTCAAAAAAAAGTCTGTAAACTCAACTGCCTGTAAAACGACATGTACATGGACACATAGGAAAACATTAGGGAGAGTTTGGGGGCTGCTGAAAAAAATGCAGAAAAGCTCCTGAACGTGAGTTTATCAGCTGCAGTGTACATGAACCCTATAAGTGACAGAGCTGCTTGCTTGATACCTACTCAAAGTGACTGACTGTAGCTTTTTTCCTTGTTAAAGCTATTACATCATAGACTTCAAAAAAGGTAGTTTTCTCATAAACTAGTATAGTTTAACACAAACAGTTAGCATGTTTAATGTACATACAGTATGTACCTTGTATATACCGGCATCCTGCTTTAAACTGTATTTTAAATGCATAAATATTATGTTGGCAGCAAATAAACAATAAAATTGCATTGCCAGCTCTGTTGATTCAGTTAAATGTTTAGACATTACTGGAAGGGTTTGTCAGTTGCATGTTCATTTCTTTATATAGACTTTGGATCATATCTAAAATGACAGATAAGCCATCTGGAAACTTTCAAGATATGGTCCTTGCTTTATGAAGCAATCAATAATGCTGATGTAAATGAACAAAAAGATGTTTGCCCCTGCTTCTTTTCAAGAAAAATTCTACTACTTGATTAATGAATACAAGCAGGCAAATATCCTTGGCCATATCATATAATTAAGAATAGCAATGATATTATTTAGCTGTAGTCATTTACAATATGCTACTACAAATACCTTTTCTTGTAATGCTTTTTGAAGCATGTAATAAACTATGAATATGGATGCGTGGACTGATTGCTTCTACATCTTTCTTCTTAATATGAGTATAGGTAAGGGGGTGGCAGATTTGAGTAAAGAAGGATGGGGGGATTTGGTGGAGGGATTGAGAGAAAACTGGTTCAGGAAATTAGG